CAGAAATTCGCAAAGGGATGAAATTGCAGGAAAATGTAGAGAAAAAGTCGGTCTATTGAAGGGGTAAAGTTGCCAGGTTTGTCGGGTTCTACGGAATTTTGAGGAATTTTTGAAATTTGCCTTACAAAGTTTCTGTCGAAAGAGGACCACTTGTGCTTTATGCGTCATGCGTTACAGCCAGAAACTCGCAAAGAGCTGAAATTGCTTTCCATTGTTAAGCAAACATCGGTCTATTAAAGAGGCAAAGTTGTCATGTTTATTAAGATCTAGGAAATTTCAGGGAATTTCTGAAATTTGCCTCATAAACTTTGTGTTGAAGAAGACAATTTTTGCTCTAAAAAATCGTGCGTTTCAGAGCGAAAGTCAGAAAGGGATTAAATTGAGTCTGAATGTAGAGGAAAGGTCGCTCTATTCAAGTGGCAAAGTTGCCAAGTTTATAAGCATCAAAGGAATTTCAGGAAATTTTTGAAATGTGCCTCATAAACTTTCTGTTGAAGGAGACGACTTTTGCTCTAAAAAATCGTGCGTTTCAGAGCGAAAGTCAGAAATAGATGAAATTGCGTCTAAATGTAGAGGCAAAAGTCGGTCTATTCAAGTGGCAAAGTTGCCAAGTTTATAAGCGTCAAACAAATTTTAGGGAATTTTTGAGATTTGCCTTACACACTTTCAATTGAAAGAAGACAAGCTTTGCTTTAAAAAATCGTGTTTCAGCCCGAAAGTCACAAATGGATAAAATTGCGTCCAAATCAAGAGCAAACGTCGGTCTATTAAAGAGGAAAAAGTTGCCATGTTTATTAAGATTTAGGGAATTTTGGGAAATTTTTGAAAGTTGCCTTAAAAATTTTCTGTTGAAAGGAGATGAGCTTTGCTTTAAAAAATCGTGCGTTTCAGCCCGAAGCTCACAAAGAGGTGAAATTGCGTTCAAATCTAAAGCAAAAGTCGGTCTTTTCAAGTGGTAAAGTTGCCAAGTTTATAATCATCAAACGAATTTTAGGGAATTTTTGAAATTTGCCTCATAACCTTTTTGTTGAAGATGACAACTTTTGCTCTAAAAAATCGTGCGTTTCAGAGCGAAAGTCAGAAAGGAAGGAAATTGTGTCTAAATGTAGAGGCAAAAGTCCGTCTTTTCAAGAGGCAAAGTTGCCATGTTTATTAAGATTTAGGGAATTTTGGTGAATTTTTGAAATTTGCCTCACAAACTTTCTGTTGAAAGAAGACAAGCTTTGCTTTAAAAAATCGTGCGTTTTAGTCCGAGCGTCAAAAAGAGATCAAATTGCGTCTAAATCGAGAGCAAAAGTCGGTCTTTTGCAAGTGGCAAAGTTGCCATGTTTATTAAGATTTAGGGAATTTTGGTGAATTTTTGAAAGTTGCCTTACAAACTTTCTGTTGAAAGAACACAACTTTTGCTTTAAAAAATCCTTTGTTTCAAACCGAAAGTCACAAAGGGATGAAATTGCGTCCAAATATAGAGCGAAAGACGGCCTATTCAGGAGGCAAAGTTGCCACGTTTACAAGGATCCGGCGAATTTTAAGGAATTTCGAAAATTTGCCTGACAAACTTCCTCTGGAAAGAGGAGCATTTTCAATTCCCCCGCCACCTCAACGTTCCAGTCGTCCACACCCTACATGCATTTACAATTGCAGTTGGCCTAGAAATGGCGGAAGGGGCGTGGCTTCGCCCCAGTTGGCGCCACTGCATGCCGCCTCACTGACCTGACTGAATAGACTGGGCGACGCCCTCGTGATGGAGGGCGAGGCTCTGGGGGCGGCGCCAGGCGACGCCATGCTGCTGGAGGGGGAGTGGCGCATGCCCGAGGCCCCGCCCATCGTCATCGAGGAGGAGGAGCGCAGCATCGGCTGCGTGGAGGGGGATGCGCGGATCGCCGGGGAACTAACGCGGCTGGGCAGGCAGTGTTTTACCGAGTCTGAGCCCGATTGGGAGTCGCTACTGCTGCTTGGAGAGCCTGAAATTGTCCATTAGAGTGGTGAGTAAATTTGTCTTACCCCCCNCCCATGAGTTCTCGGGCCGATTTTAGCTGAGCAGAAAAGCGCTATTGCCACGTGTTTTCATATATTATCGATCTACTATCGATCGATTGGTTTGCCATTGTGAAAGTTTGAATTTTCCCAAAACTGTTGGATTTTTGCCATTGGTGACGTCATCCGCCCTATAACTGAAATGGATTTTTTTTTGGAAAAAATTTTTTGTTTGTTTGTAATAGATTGCTTTGGACCACTAAAGACCTCCTATGTCAAAATTTGAGCGAAATTTGACACGGCAAAATTGGTGAAAATTCCGAAAATTTTTTCCAAAAATTTTGCGTGATTTTAGAAAATCGTCAATTGCTCGCTGAGTATCGCTCAGAGCAAAAAGTGAATATGAACTTTTTTGTGGCCCCTCAGACGGTCCATCGACTGAAGTGACTCAGTTAATTTTAGCTCTTGTGGTTTTTCGGAAACCATATTTTGGCGATTTTTTCGAAAACTTTGACAGTTGGAGCGTTGGAAAAAATCTGGTTAGATCGGGCTCGTTGGGCCCGAGATTTCATCAAGAACAACTTTTCTCGATAGGAGGCTTCGTTTTAGAGAAAAAAAATAAACTGTAAAATTTCGAAAAAATCGAAAAAAATTTTTTTTTTAAGATTTTATCTGACAGTTGGTTAGATATGAAAAAGTTTCATGATAAATCGACTTTGGTTGGTTGAAAAAAAAATTCCTCTATGAGCCAGAGCGAAAAAACGAAAACGTTTGTACAGGCTCTTATGGAAGAGAAATTTTCAAAATTGAATAAAAGTGTCAAATGATATTCGAATTGGTTTTATGAGATCGAATGTCACACAATAATCGGTTGACTTTGAAAAGTCGAGTTAAAGTTGAAAATTGATTTTCATTTCGAAAAATTAACGTTAACTTTGACATTGCCCACATATGATTGTCTCTCTCTCGCGCAAATGCCCTCGCATCGACACATGTGTTAAGGCAAAAAGAGAGAGCATGAATGTGGGCAGCTTTTGAGTGATTAGACCAAACGTCATTGGAAGTGTCAAAACGGCTGAAATAGGCGAGGGAAATTGAGAGATGAAGGAAAAAAGAAGAAAAAAAGTGATAAACTTTTCTAAAAAATTGACGTTTGCAGCTGTCAATGAAAATGGTATTCGGCAAGATGCGAAATGTCAAGATCGATCGGATGGTGACATTGACTTGACCTTGAACAGTTATCCAATTGGTGGACTATCGAAAATCGAGAAAAAATCAAGTGTGCCGAGTGACAGTGGACAATGCAACTGTCAATGTCATAAATGTGAAAAATCGAGATGACCTTGAGCATACAACAACCCCCAGTCGATTGGTGGGGGGATTCTCCGAAAAACTGTATAAAACTTCTTACAGTTTTGTACTACTTATTGATTTTTCGAGTGACAATGAACAATTACAAAATATGGTTATGCTTTACGGTACGATCTGCTGTGGCACGCGCACATGCCTGCACGCAGGGTACGCGCAGCCAAACATTGCATACTGGTCAGCCATGTTGCCGAACTGCCACCAAAGTAGAAAATTTCAATGTAAACCAAGAAGTAATTCATTCAAGGTTGAAAACTTAGCAGAATTACGTTCATACAGGAAAAAAACAAACATTTTCAGGTGGATTTGGAAAATGAAAATTTCTCTGTCATTTTGCATTGTTATCGGAAGCCTTCGATCTGAAGATATCGTCTATTTTAAGCGGTTTTTGAGCAATCACGACTTTTAACCGCCGGTATCTTTCTTATTATAGATTTGAACATTTTATATATGCATATTGAGGATCTTTTAAGGGGGAAAACAATCCATTGAACTCAAAAAAAATTTGTGCAAAAGCTTTTGATTTTTGACCAAAAATTGCAAGGGGTGGTCGATTTTTTCAAAAACTATCAAATCTCTCAAAATGACTTGAATTTTACAACATTTTCATCTCGAGAAAGCGAGAAAAGTGACGAGTTGAGTAAAAAACACAGCGGAAGCCTTCGATCTGAAATAATCGACATTTTTGGTGTATTTTCAGCGGTTTTCGAGCAATCACGTCTTTTAACCGCCGATATCTTGTCTCAAAAAATTTATATATGCATATTAGGATACTTATTAGGTCGAAAACAAGTAAACTTTTTCAGAAAATATCGAATCTCTCCAATTGACTCAATTTTTACATCATTTTCTTTCCAAGAAAGCGAGGAACCCGACCAGTTGACTTAAAAACACACCGAAGCCTTCGATCTGAAGTTATCGCCATTTTTTGTCTATTTTAAGCGGTTTTTGAGCAATCACGACTTTTGACCACTGATTACTGTCTTCTTAAAGACTCAATATGTTATATGTACATATTAAGAAGCTTATTAGGTCGAAAACAATTCACTAAACTCAAAAAACACCCTTTGGAATTAAAATTTAAAATAAAAAAAAAACCGAAAATTTCATAACGGGTCGATTTTCTCAATAAATTTCAAGTCACTCAAAAAATGTCTCAAATTAAACATCAATTTTATTCGTAAAAGCGAAATGCAACAGACTCATGGAAAATCACCTTGGAAGCTTCACGCTCGAGACGATGAACATTTTTGGCTCAATTTAATGCCCTAATTAATCTTGGAATGTTTGAAAGTGATGAACTATGATGGTTTTTTAAATTATTGAAATTATTTTTTTTTAACTATCTGCTATTTTAGAGAAACTGATAATGGTGGAAAACACCGAAACGTATCCTATTAATAATCTAATCAACGGTTTCAGCCAAAATCGCCCCGTCATCACCCGACTCACTCACCTGGAGAGGAAACTATCACATGGCGCGGCTTGAGGGACGCGGGCGACGCCGAGGACGCCTGTTGGCCCGGCGACGCCGCCCCGACCCGCGGCGAGAGCGGACGGTAGGGACCTTTGCTTGCTGCTGATTGGCCCTGAAACCGATGGCCGCGCCCCTTAAACTCCGCCCCCCCGGGCCAACAGCCAATCAACTTACGAGTGTCTGGTGTGATGGGGCCGGTGGCAGTGGGGCGCGCAGCTGCGACTGGCCCGAGACTGCTGAGCGAGGAGGAGGAGGAAACGGAGCCGCTAAGGGCCGAGACGGTCCGCCCCGCCCCTGGCCCCCCTCCACTGGACACGCACTGCGACTGTCTCCACGCGGCCCGGGCGGCCTGCCGCGCCGACCTGTCTGGAAAGCCCCCCTCTCAATACCGACACCACCCTGGACACGCCCACCGGGGGGGGCGGCGCCTGCAAACGTCTACACATTACCTGAATGGGGTTTGGGCGTCGGCCAGATCTGCAGCAGGTAGCGCAGCACGCTGATTGGCTGCTGATAGTCGAGCTCGTGCGGCTTGGTGGCGGTGGGCGGGGCCGACTCGCCCGACTGGAGCATGAGGGGCGGGGCTAGCGCCGTTGCCAGATTCTGCGCGTTCATTTTGTTGCGGTCCGACGCGGACACCACCAGCGCCAGATGGTCCATCAGGAAGATCAGCGTGGCCTGGAAGGGAATCGGTGAGTTTGCGCGGTTGCGGCAACAAGGCCTGAGCGCTTGCGCGTGACGTCGACCCGTGTAGGCCGCTTGTTTGCCAATACGAGGGCGTTCGAATGCGGACTATTTTCCCCGTTAATTTTGCTYTTTGGCTGGTTTTTTTCATAAATGTCAACTTTTYCAGCTGATATTGATTTCTCTAGGGGTTTTTTTGGAGTTCGCCCTCGTTWTGCAATTTGTGGCTGGGACAGTTTGAATGGCAACAACGTCGGGCTTTTTGAGGGTTTTCAATTTTTTTAAATATCTCGACCCTTAAGGAAGTGMCGGGCAAAAGAGTGGAGGTATGCGCAAACGGAAGAGTCGCACGGTTGCCAACTTTCCGGGTTCATTATCTCCCAAACCGGTGCCCAAGGCGATTTTTGTCAAGACAGCTGAACTGTGGCGAACCCCCGTGGCAACTTGGGGATTTTTTTTTTTTTATATATTTTTAACAGTGGCGGAGTTTTGGGCAAATCAGTGTGCGAACAATGCGGGTGGCACTTTCAGTCTCTCTAACTTCAAACTTGATTTACTGCGAAACTACATGCGAAACCATGTTAAGTAAAGGGGGAATTTTGGCGCCAATTCGACTATTAAGTGAAAAATTTGCGCATTTTCGGTTTTGAAAAATGTCAAAAATTTTGAAAATTTTTTGAAAAAAAATTTAAATTGCAAAAGAAGATCTGAAAAATACATTTTGGGGTTTGAACTGTTGCTGCGCCGCCAAACTTGAAGCAAAAGAGCGTGTTTCCGCCAGCTGAAACAACCAGCACCATGACGTCACAGGTGCCATACCTGGGAATGATTTGTTTTCAAAAACTAAATATTTTTTTGTGAGTAATCGATTGCTTTGGACCCACGAAGGCGTCCTGAGTGGAAATTTCACCGAAATTTGACACCGCAAATTTA